GGGGCAACACTGAGGGTTGTGATCCGTTGCCGGACACGGAAAAAGACAAAAGACAAAAAAAAAAAAAAAAAGAATTTGTAATACTTTGGTTGAGTTTCCAAATTTGGTAAGAAGAAACCCTATTTTTACTGGAAAGAAATGATCAGATCAAAGGAAATGAGGCTCATTTCTCCTGCCTCTGTGTTCTCTGAAATACTTTCAATGTAGATGGATCTGCTTTAGATCTCAAGACTGTCCATGTTTCTGGCCATTCTCAGCTGACACAGGTTACAGAATAATAGCTTTCCATATATGTAACTGCTCCACTTAACTCTCTCCCAGACCTGAATGTTAGTGCACCAGTCTTGACAGCTAGGTTTTTCTTGCTTCCTAAGTTGCTCTACTTCCATTAAGCATTTTGCCCAATGTCTCAGAGCTAAGTCCTAGAGGCCTGTGTTGCAGACCTTCTCCCCACACCACTGTCTATTGGTTGAAGCTTTAATAGGGTGCCTGGTTGTGCTGGTCTCTTCCCCTGGAGACTGGAGTCTTCCCTTTACTTTGCCCTTATCTATTGCTCAGGGTCTTAATACACAGGGACAGATGTCCCATAATTGAGATCATCACCAATCTCCTTCCCAGATATTCAAATACAGCCCATGTGTCTTGCTGAAACTCACCCACTGGGCTCATCACTGTATTTTGACCTAACATCATGGATCTAGCTGGAATTTAAGCTAAGACTTTTGAACTTCTTTGACAGAGTGAACTGACTTATTATTTGCCCTATTCTAGGCCATCCAATCTGGTTCTCTTGTATTCAATCCTACCCTGCCCTATGAAGTCACTTTCTGAACAGCTCTCCGTGAGTTGTTGAATTTTCAGCATGCCTCACCTCAGAGCGTGGCTCGAGTAATCAGAATGGTCTCTAATCATGTAACTGTGTTCACTTATTTATTTTAAATTGAGAGATAAGCCAGATCCAGGTTTTATTATTGAACTTAGGTGGTGCTGTTCTTTAAGACTTTAATCAAGTGACTACCGAAGTGATGATATCTATTCCAAAGTCAGTAGGTCGCAATCGACATCCTTATGCAGTGGTCAAGATTGTAGTCTTATTTCTAATTTGAACAAAGATTTTGTAAATCCTGCCATCTGACCTCATACACAGGCAGTAGAACACTGCTGATTTGGAAACCAGAGGAATGACCTACAGAACTGACTGTGTTACTTCCTGCAGCATCTGGTGATTCCTTGCTAAAGTACTTAATTTCTTCCTCACCCTGCATGACCTCAAGAACTTATGATGAGGTCCCAGACTGAAATAACTTAACTGGCTGAAACAAATTTCCAGAGTGTGGTAGTACAAATAACACACATGCATATTTGGGTGGGAGTAGCGAGCAGTTGGGAATTAGACGGATATGGAAAGAGATCTTCTCCAGCTTGCACTCCAATTTGAATGACTAGAGAATGTACCATTCAACAGTTAATCATTTTTTTTTTTACTGGTAGATCTACCTTCTGGGAGTTTTATTCAAGAGGATATGTCCCACTGCTCATATCTTTGTGAAGCTGGAAAAGACTGTTGTGACCGAATGGCAAGCTGCAAATGTGGGACACACACAGGTCAATTTGAATGCATCTGTGAAAAGGGGTATTACGGGAAAGGCCTACAATATGAATGCACAGGTGAGTCTCCAGTTTGTGTGTAACTATATCAGTTATCTGTTGCTGTGTAACAAACGATCCCAAAGCTCAATGGCTTAAAACTGTAAGTGTTTGTTATTGCTCATGAGTCTGTGAGTCAGTGGGGCAGCTCTTTTGGTGCAGACTCATGCATTTATGATCAGCTGGGAGTGGGGTGGGCTGCCGTGCTCATCTCAGTGGGCTTCTGTTATGTGTTTGGGAGCCAGGGGACTGTAGTCTGGTCTAAAATGGCTTTGTCTGGGACAACTGTGTGGCCTCCTAGCCTGGGCTTGCTCAGGTGGTGGTGGCAGGGTGCCCAGAGGAAGAATGAAAGCTTGCAAGGCCTCATGAAGCCCGGGTTCAGAACTGAAAGGGGGAATATTTGGGATATTTTATTTGTGATTCATCTAATAAAATCACCAAATCTCTACTCTAGGCACTTAGGCCAAAATATGCCTCGGTCTCTCTATGAGATTAAAGCCAGTGGAAATCCAATCCCCAGGCCACATGTGACTCGTGGGATTGTCACAAAAAAATGCAACATCCACTTGATGGTCTTTTAGCTCCTCACGAGCCTCCACAAAAGGAAAATAAAAAGTTCTGAAAGCACCATCACTTCAAAATGGAATTTGATTCATCGACATTTGTAATTTTACCTTCTCTAGATTTTCTTACAGACCTTTCTATTTTTATGTTTTATTGAAGAGGCAAAAGGAGCAATTCAGGATTCTTGTGCTCTACATTATATTCTAGGAAATATCTAATATTTAGAAATAGTATGTGGTTTTTCTGTGTTGGGTAGCATTTTGTTTGTTCTGTTTTTACCTAAAAAGCAACTTTTTTTTTT